AATTTTTTTCAGATTAATTTTCAATTTTTTTTCAATTTTTTCAAAACTTTTTTTTTCAAAATTTCAAGTTTTTCAAAAAATTTTTTCAAAATATTTTTTAAAATAGTATCCGTCGGATACGATTGGATATCACGTCATATGGATCGGATACGATTTTAGTGGCGTATACGAAAATTATCTTGTGTTGGTATCCCCATATATATTTAGAATCCATCGGATAAACCATGTTACCGGATTTTCTCGCATATACGCCCCCCTAAATTTAGGCCCATGGGCCAAAAATCGAATATAATACGCTTATACGCCCATGGGCCTATAAAAAATGACTATTTATTGATTTTTTCAATTAATTCAAGAGTATTTTGTCACTGGCAGATCGTTCTGTCGTACTTTGTTTCATTGTATTAACATTCATTAACAACTTAACATTCCATTGTATTCATCAGCTCTTCTCACCTTTACGCCCACTGGGCCAAAAATCGAAAGTAGTACACTTATACGCCCATGGGCGAAAAATAAGAGGTAAAATAACAGACGAAATTGCCCATTCTTTCAGTTATACGCCCAGGGCTTATATGCGAGAAAATCCGGTAGTTACATTCGTATCTGTATCCATTCTCATACTATGGCCCGATCTCATGTACATTTACAGAATTACTAACACGCAATGGTACATCTATTTTCGGACGACTCTTGAACAATGGTTTTAGCATAATATGTAACATGTTAGATATCAAAACATAGGTAATTGAAATGAAAATTATATGGTATATTAATATTTAATTTTTATTTCCTATTTTTTAGATAAGGGACGCTTAAAAGACTCTATTGAGTTTTAAAGTGCACATTTTTACCATGTAAAACGTTGCATTTGATAATTTTGAAATATGGTAATTTGGTCATAACTTTTTTATTCCTTAACCAATTTAGTTCAAATTCGGTATGGGACAACAATTGCTGATGGGCGTTTATGACGTCACATGATATTGTGACGTCATCAACGCATATCCGCCATCTTGGATGCCCAAGAAATAGTAAAAATGTGTAAAACTCGAAAAATAAATGTTGGTAAAGACCTTAGGCCCTTATTATCTTATTCAAAAGTCAAACCTATGAAAAAGATGTCATTATTACTTATTCTATATATGTTCAACTAGAACTTAACGTTAAAAATATATGTTTTGTATAAATTTTGTTTACATAGCAAGCATTTTACGACTTGTGTCTGTTTTGTACCTAGAAAAAAATTGATAGAAATATGGCGGGTTTCAAAGACTCTCGTCATTTAAATACACGAAATTATGTTTTTCTAGTGACATTCAACTAGATATTTTATAATGTCATAAAAGTATTGCCCTTGTACTACATATACTATAATTTTAAGTTCAGTTGCATTGCTTTGCATGTATTTGGACCAGGTAATATGACTTGGTCAAATTCAGCATTCTTTTGTTCCAAAATATTTTGACGTTGTAAAAATTGATTAGGGTGTTTTTAATAGCAGTCTAAAATGATATCAGGAAAACAAATGATAATATATTTGGTATGTAGAGAATGCTCATAGCCCATATTTTATGATTCATCACGTTTAACATCTTTAGATTAAGCTAAGTATGAGATTTTCCTTAAAACGTGCGTGACAGAGAATTGTCCCATCTCGATTTTTTTTCTTTTTCCTTTGAATTTTAGTAGGCTGAATCCAGGGAAGAAAGGAATGAATATAAACTTTGAAAATACATGATATTATATTATCATAAAAATGCTCATAAACTCAAGATTCCAATGATATATCACATGACTATCATCCCTTCATAGATCTTTAGTTATTGTTTAATATGTGCGTGACATAATTTGTCCCATCGACGATTTTTTTACAAAAATAGAGAAATACGACGTCATATCAGCGCTACAGCAAATCGTGAAGAACAAAATATCTCTCAAGTCATGGCATGATAGTATTTTGAACAAAATATTTTAAATGATCGGTTTTTGAGGACGGTAGTGAATTAGACCATTCAAGGGGATATATAGAAAGATTCTTCACATGTAGTTCAGACAATTTTAATTATTCTGAGTAGCGGATAGTCATTAATACTGATAGCGGAAAGTCATTTATCATGAATGTGTTCATATTTAATTTCGTTATTTTATTTCAATTTGATACCCTATTAACACGTGTAATCTAGCGTTCTTGTTCAGTTAATGACTAAAGTGCATATACGACCTGAAAGCCCGTGTCTAAATCTACAAAATAATGTTTACTTTATTTGGATTAAATAACAATTGATGATACCTCAAAGCATCAACATGCGGCCGTTTTAGCATTATTTTCACTGTTTGCAACGTAAATGTACATGAGATCGGGACATAGTATGTCTTGATTCGCTATGACAATATTTCTTCAACTTGATTAAAAGGAGAATTATCAAAAGCATATCAAGAACGGACAATCATGCAAAGGTTCTCTTGTGAGAACCTTTATGGCACTTTAACTGTTCAACCCCATTTGACTACTAATATGATATGCTGAGGGATTACATACCCACACGCAATTACAAATAAGGAAGTATACTTGCTACTCCCTATTCTTCAAATGCATCAAATTAGTCCCTACAAAATGCAAGGGAAGTTAAACAATGCATTAACATGCAAAATATCACCACCCGCTATTTGTTAAGACGCCGACTGCAAAACACCGAAAAAGTTGGTGACAAGATGTCACCACTTCTGGCGGAGACATAAATATGGAGACGAACTCTTCTAAAAGGTCTTTGCCATTTATCATGTCAAAGACGCACTGTTCATGACATGTTATTGTTGAAGTGCGCTGATAGGGATCTGCCAAAGACATGAATGTCGGAAGCTGATGAAGTATGAAGGAAATGTTATACGATTATCAATTTCCCTATCCCAATTCTACCCGCCATTTGAACAACAGCAACCCGCTTTATTACACCCTCAGAGTGGCAATTGTGTCCATCCGTACGTCATTCTAATATCTAATTTCGATATTAATGTCAGAACGAACCTTTAACATTTTGGACGTACTTTACTTTGCACATTCCCACACTGACTATTGTGATCTATTTCACGTCACGACGTAGAATCTTCTATTAGTCATTTAATTTCCGAGGATTTATCTTGAGGTTGTTTTTTAATTGGCCATTTATTTTGACTATTATGAACCTCTATATCACTACTCACTACTGTTATCCCCTTGCTCTTCTCTGCCTTAGAATACATAGATTTATCTCTAGATTAATAGTCAATGTATATTTATCGCTATTGGGCGGTAAATTCTATTAAGAACGCTAAGTTAAGAAATACAAACATAATAGGTCAGAATTAATGCTTATAGTCGGAAATATAACTCATTGTTAGTGTTTTATGAAAGGATTTCGAGTGTTATTTTATTTATAAGATTGAGATTCTTGATAATGTCGGGTATCCCCTTTGCCCGCTAAGAAATCAATCTTTATAATCGGATAGAACAGTAGATTCACTATCATCAATGGCCTTTGCAACAAAACATGACATATATCGTGATGAGCTGACACCGTATTCTGACACTATATTTACATATCGCATTGTGAACGTTAATACCCTTTAATGTCATATACTTAACGTGATTTCAGCGTACTTTTACTAACTATATGGAAATGAGATATTCTTGGGTTTTACTGTACAAAATGTTGCTAATTAAAGATGCATATTATACCATAGGTTTCTCCCCCAGACAATCAATGATGTCCTATTGTTATTGCTCATATAATATCTCACATACCATGGGCATATCTTGAAATACCTTTTGGGTATATTATTGCCAAAATATTGAAATAATCAACACAACAACCAAACTCCAGAATTAAACACAATCGATTCCTCGGCTAGCGAGTGGAATCCCCATTGAGTCACACAAGCGCCCACAAGCGCCTTGAAGCAGGTAGCCAATCAGGTTCATGATAATCAAATTCAACGACCAATCAGAAAACAGGAGGACTTTCTCGGTACATTCAAACTTCAGATTGAATTAATTTCTCAGAAAATAATTAGATCGGCCAGCACAATCGCAAAATTAACACTGAAAGAGGGGGATTTGGGACTTCGTCTTTGGTAAGTAGATGGGTGAATATGTGGTGAAACTCAATATGCAAAAAAGTCCAGAGGGGTCTTGATTGTGCTGTCCTATGGCATATGGCCTCTTTAATGTTCAAAACGTAATACCGTAAGAAGATCAATTCCGTAAAAGCGTCGAGGGTCGTTTACTTTAGTCAAATTAAGGGTACTGTAGGTCTAGTTTAGATTAGCAGTTGACTTTGTGTTGGGAAGTATCCCTCTGTATGGAAGTTTTGTTTTCTGAATACTTTTGTTATGTAACGTTATGTAACTTTATGCGATCCGTTTTTAAAATGATCATCGTACATTAGAATACATTTACGATCACGAGGTAGTCGAAAAAGCGTTGCATTCCCCTAGCATCAGTGATGACCACCATGTCCATCACTCCTAAGTAGAATTCCGGCTGCTAAATACATGGTTACCTATGTCTTTCTGTTCTTTCTTCCCCGTCTCTTCATAGAAAATACCAAGTTAAGAATTCTGATAGAGCTTGGACCTTGTCTAATAACGATTAATGACAATGTCAATTTCAATCAATTAAATGATTTGTCCAAACTTGGAATGACAAATTGTGACAAGTTTGGTCGGCCCAAGCTCAACTTGATGTTCAGAACACTAAGTTGAGCTTGAGCAGACCGAACTTGTCACAATCAGTGGACAATGTCGACAGTGGTCGGTGGGCAACATCTAAGTGTCCATTTCTTTTTATTGCGCGTGTGGTTAAGCACGCCATCTTTTTAAATATTTATTTCATTAAAAACATTGGATGAGTAGTATTCATGTTGCCAATATTTCACGATATCTTATCTTTCACGAAAATAGATGGCAAAAGGGATTAGTGATAAATAAATTGAAGATGAAATGCGCTTTATAACTTCAAGTATATTGTCTTTATTGTATATAATCAATTAATGAATAAACATTCTATTTGTCTCGAGACACATTCAATCTTAAATCTTGATTTGTCCATATTTTGTCCAAAACCACGGTATCAAAACCTTAAAGTGCAGTTAGCCTAAGTGTCTGTCGTCAAAGTGTTCATTTTTTAGTTTGAAGCATAGAAAAAGGAAGAATGATATCTGGCTCTTTGTTTGTCGGATTTCCAACATACACATACATGCATTTATTTTTGAAGTCCAAGACACCTGAAAAAAGAATATAATAACTATATTTTACACCTTACATCAATAATGCGTATTTATTGTACAAACGGTTTATGCACTGTGTGTAGATAACAGTACCATCGCCCAGGAGCCAAGCATAATTTGGTCGATGTTCTAAAAAAGTATAAACATCAGACACTGACAAAGATCTACTTACTTGACCAATTTGTTGCCCAGTGCCCTTTCTTTTCAGGTGGCATATAAATTGTGTATTTGTCTCCTTTTGTGTTTCCAAGTAAGGCAAGAACATCTTTAAGCGACTCGGGGGTAGGCTGTGAGTCATAGAACGCTTGTCTTGTATTTACCATAATGCACCTCGTCCCTTTGTCAGCGAGATGTTTTGTGCTGAAAATGATTTTACAGTATTCAGCTATTCTTACACAGCAAAACATATTTCTGTACAAACTGATTTACATTCTATACCATTTATCGACTTTTATTGAAAATTTCAGTGTAGCTTCTAGGATAAAAATTCAACTACACTTACTGGTTAAAGTGTGCATATGCTCCTGCTATATCTCCCTCTGAGCACTGAGGTACAATCTTCTTAACACTTACTTTCGATCTTGGTCCATCACTTGGACCTACTTCTAAGTTGTACATTGTTGAGCTCCCAAACACTCCAAAGTTCAGTCTAAAATATATCAATCAAACAATCTCATTTTGCATATTAGTTATGGAAATAGAATTCAAGATTTATAAAAATAAATTTGAGCTTATATTATGAGTTGCGTAATTGGGTTTTGTAAAAACGCAGCGTTTTAGACTGACCATCGTAACACCAGGGATCGCGGTGTCCACACTCACACCCCTCCCGGCGATGACCAAAGCGACATAATAATAACATGATCTGTCGCATTCAAGTGACAATTTTGAGTTAGTTTAGATCACAATAGCCGCACCAAGTACAGGTACAGATGTATAACCATTGAATTCGAAGGAAAGCTTGATCAGTTTCTACCCACAACCTGAGTTTCAGACTTACGTCACAGACCATGAATAAGCAACACCCGAACCCTCATCTACACACAATTTTATCAACTCTTCAGGGCTCCTGGCTTGTTGCTGTAAGCGTACAAGCACTTGGTAGGCTGAAGTTAAAACAGTATCATTTTAGTAATATATATGATGTTACAATCCTGGTCGTCTGAACGTTTATTCTTTTACTTTGTGTGTCTTAATACTTTTTTATTTTATTTTAAATTTTTTCGTTACGTACGTGTCTTTTTCTCTTTGTACACTTTGTTCTTGGGGAAGAGAATAACATCGTCGGTACCACTAAGACCATGGCTATTGATCCAACTTGGTGAACTGAAAGACGCTGAAATAATCGCATACGATAATTTTGAGAAAGAAAAAATGAATAGTGTACGGCGTTTAGTAAACACTTTTTGAGTTCCACGTACCTGGGTGTGGGTAGAGTGCCATAAGTCTTTGTTCTGGAATGACTTGGCCATCAGGCATTGTGTATGGCTCTATCTTGGAATGTATAATAAATGGCCAGTCAAAATCCAAAGCCCAATCTTCATTGTGACCTATTATGACCTAGTTAAAAGGAATGAATTAAATGTTTCATATGACCAATACCGTATGGTGGTTTCTTGCGATGTGGATTGAGTAAACTCTAGGAAAATCTGTCACATTGAGTTATGGATTCTATTTGATGGAAATGTCACATTGCTTGAAACAAAAAATTGTCAAAGGTTTCCGCCGTCTTTCAAACGCAGGGCTCCAGACACCAGCCACTATCTTCCTTCCTTCTTCCAAGAAGAAGGAGGTACGAGTTCTAGAGGCCTGTGTTGGGAGGATTGTTTTTTGCGCGTGTCTACTTCACATCTATCACTACAGAAGCAAATCAACCTCTAAGTCTCTGTACGATAAACCATATGTTATATTTTCTTTTACTACAAACCAAGAATTGATATTCATTTAATTTCATGAAAACACCTATTTATAATCTACTTACATCATTGTCATTGTTTACATAGATATCTGTGCAGCCCTTGGTGGCACAGCCATACTCTTCAAGAACTGCACTCTCCAGGTTCCCCAGTACATCTTCTAACTGTGGAGATAGCAACATGAGATATCCCTGAAACACAATTAAATCATATATGAAACAAATGAAGCGAAATGGATTCTAATAAGGAAAACAGTATGTTAGTTTTGTATAATGAATGAGAATAATACAGAAATAAAACGTTTTGAATCTTGGAGGCAATAGTTACCCTGCGCGCAGAGTCTACTTATAAACGAGGCTCTCTTTTAAGAAACGAAGTTGAACGGATGCAAAGGCTATGTACTAGGCCTAGTTGGATTGTTATTCAATAAAAAGCTGGAGTACATTGGTGATAATCACTGCAGATACATGTACCTTCTTCATATCTATATTCGCTCCATCATATATCCCTCTGAATTCATCCATCAAATGTGGGAATCGTTTTGTACAATTGGAAATAAATCCATCCACAAATTCTTTCCCATCTGTTGTTTCATAAAATGCCTGGTATCTCTGAATTGATTCTTCTGATGCGTCGATGAATTCTTTTAGAACATCCTTACAAAACTCTCCCTGGAATGATGGTTGTTTACATGTAACGAATCAGATGCTTGCTTAGAAACATTAAAAATGAGAATTTTTCCTTGTATCTAGCTATTCCGATTGAAAATTGAAGAGCTCATATTATAATTTTTCAGTTGAGATACTAATGAAGGTCTCCAACTGAAATCTACTCAGAAGTCTTATTTTTTTTAGAATTCTGCCACCATTTGCTTCACATTTTGATGACTTAATAGCTATGTCAAGAAACAGTAAATTTGAGCGAGGGATTTAGTGAATCTGGGCATGGAGGTACACTGATATACGTCCATGCGCAAAATTCTGATTATGCAACCTTATACAGGGCGTATCAAAAAAACGCAACAAGTAGATATCTCGTAAAATCACCAAACTAGTGATGACTACATCAATTTCATTCAATGCACCATAAAGCCACGTCTCTCCTCTTTGCAATGATATGTCATTCATTCACATGTGGTAATGGTTGGGTTAGAAATCCTTCCATTTGCACAGTGGGTCAAAATGGGCTCTGTACTACCAAGTTTTAGATATTGAAAAAATCAGTGCAAGTGTGCCAATGGAAGTTCCCCTGACTTGTTGAAATGTTGTGACTTTTTCTTTTGGAGCTATCTCCGGAGCATCTGTGCTCACAATTCCTCCACCAGATATTGCAAAACCTCGAGTAAGAATTGCCAGTGGGCTGCTTTTCTCTGCTTTAACCCAGATATGACTCATGGCTGAACCATGCATGACGTGGACAGATGAGCGCATCTTCATGTGCAAGGAAGTGGCGGCAATTTGGAGGGGTATAGGATGTATTCTTGCAAAAGTATGAGTATGAACACTTTACTGTCTATGCCACACGTGTCACACCTTCTCCCAATAGCCCCTATGCCCCTTGTACTGACTTTTGCAATGTTTAAAACTTGGGTCCGGGGTTTGTGTAAAAAACCGGGTGACCGGGTAACCGGGTACCCGGTCGACTGGGTACCTAATGTTCCTAGCAGGGTTACCAACTTTCAAAGTTCCACATTTCCCCCCGGATATATAGTAGCGAATTGACTTGACAGACTTAGCCTACCGAGTGCACTGCTGATCAATATTTTTACCCTAGATACGAGACAGAGCACTTTTTAAAATAATCGATCCAGCAAACAGTGACGTCCACGTCACGTTGCTCATAAGTAGCATATAAGTTCCTAGAAGACGTTGCACATTTTCGTTCTTTACACATCGAGGCAACGTAAACATGAGACATCTATTGATGGTATAAACGTTGTTGTAACGTGTCCGTAAAGTTCGTTAGTGTGGAAAACATAACAAACAGGAACGTTTGATTTTTTACTACATTGGTCCATATGTGACGTAACTCAAACGTTAAAATTCAACGTTGTCAAAACAGGCTTTTAATATCAAAATATTTGTTGGTGGGAAAAAACATGACAAAAACTTTGTGTTCTCACTAAGTCGGTTCATTTCCGACGTATTGTTAACGTTAAAATTTAACGTTGTCGAAATGTTTTTTTCGATTTGAAATAACCTCAAAACGTGACGTCAATAATGACGTTCATGGACCGTATTGATCTGACGTTATTTAGATATTCAGCAAAACGTCGATGGATGGTTGAATTTCAACATTGTGGAAATGGCTTCAAAATATTTGTGAGTTAATGAAACGTAACAAAGACGTCAATATGTTCTCACTAAATCGGTTCATTATCGACGTTATTTTAACGTTAAAAGTTAACGTTGTCAAAACGTTCTTACGATGTGAAATAACCTCAAAACGTGACGTCGAAAATAACGTACATGTATCGTCCAGATCCAACGTTATAAATAAAAAAATCCTAACCCTGCTAGGAACGTTAAGTACCCGGTCACCGGTTACCCGTTTTTTTACACAAACCCCTTGGGTCCGAGCTGAATTTTGCCCCATTTTGCAAAGTTAATGATTATTCGGCCAGAGATGACAAGAGCCGGTATATACAAATACTTTATTTTATGAACATACAATGCTTAAAAGCTGTAACTTAATTAACATCGGGCGAACACCTTTTTAATACCACTTGCGACTGGGCACTTCATGAATGACCTGTTCCTATTAGAATAAATGGCGGGCAATAAACTCTATTGACACAAAGGGGTTCTTGTACTAATTATAATCAGACAAGAGGTATAGTAAATAGCTTTTCTCCTATATCTTATACTTAATGTTGTAGCACCCCAGGGGCAGTGCGCTCTTAAATTACTGATAGATGTTGGTAGCGTAGCAAATAAAATAGCACAACCTACTCCTGGGGGTGCCACGGGTAATCCCCAGATGGCGCTCCCTCCCTGAAGCCGTCAAATGGGAAAAAGCGAACAGAATAGTGAATTAATTTGAATTACAATAAGAATATAGTTTCTTTATTAACTAAAATTACATCATTTTGTTTGAAAATAATGATAAATCATGAGGATAAGCCTCAATTAAAATAGATCTAAGAGAATTACTGATGCGCTAATCAAATCTAAGGAGTGCAGATAAATGCAATGTCATGTTGCGACTTCTTAGCCGCTCTCAACCGCTCCTGGGGGAGAACTGGCAGCGCTGCTAGGTTGGATGATCGCTCCCAGTGCAGCTATCTTTCCTCTCGCTTGGCCGAGCGGGAGGGGTAGCGCAGAAAGGAAGCAACACACCAATGCCAGCCATGACTTGCGGAATGAAATCAATTAACATAAATTACATTGATCATTTTTATAAAGAATATTTGAATGCTCTAGCCAGAACCTTACAGATATATGAGAAGTTGAAATGAACTGATGATTTTTACATTTTGGAAATGACTTCACTTTAAAAACATGAAATCTAGCATGAAATTACATGAATTGGGAAGAATTAATAGATGACTAGCTTACCAAAACAATGATTTATCCAAATAATATCCGAATTATATCCAATTAATATGATTTAATCCATAAAATCAAGACAAAACAAAATAATCAAAAAGCGCATCTTCTCCCTGCAAAATCCCAGCAGAAGAGACAGTTGGTTTGAACTGAGCATGGAACTAAAATTTCACTGGCATGAATCTATAAGCTAAAAATTATTACATGAAAAAACAAACTGAGAAATTCTATGGGGCTGCTACTGATAGGTGTGAACTGTTAAAATATACAGGGCTTTACAATTAATGTACAAAATACAAGATAGCTATAGTTGATATCTGAGACAGGTCCAATTAATCGATAATATTTAAACATATTCCTTAATAAAATGAAATTATTACAAAGTGATTATAAATCTAATCTTTAATTGAAATAAAAGTAACGGCACAGAAATATTACATATTGTTGGGTCGTTACATACCTCCCCTCTTTGAAAAGGCATGGCCTAACCTCACAAAACTATGAAACATAACAATATGTCATTGAATACCACTCTAAATATACATCAAATGTTCATAAAAATGATTTAAAAGTAATACATTGTTTATTTTAAAATAATCCTGGCATTTGCCCTGCTGCTCCACCAAGTGATGGATGAACGTAATCAATAGGAGCGCTGGCTCTTCTTAGCGCATCCAGGCAGCTGCTATCAATTGAATGATGTAACATTTGCATATATTCTGGTATCATCATATAATAAGTCACTGGATAGTTCATATATAGTATCACTGGATTAAATAATAGAGAAAATCCCCATCCGGACTGAGATTGTTCCTATAAATAATCACTGGATCCTCCATATGGTATACCACTAGACTGTTATATGTTTCTCTGGATCGGTTATTCACTATGAAGTTAATATATAGTTGGTCCTAGAGTGTTCATGATGTAGACTTATGCGTGACAGTGGGGCAGACACCTGGAAATACTAAACATAGAGTGGTAGACAAGACGTTTAAAACTTATCTTAAATACAGTCACATTTATTACAAAGTGAATGCTAGCTTAAAATTACAATGATAGCTACTAGTAGTATTAAATACCTAAATCATCATCTACCATAATGAATGATAAAGTTTGGCGAGCTATTCTCAGCCTGGTTAGAAAATGCCATATATCAGGTCTTTAAAATATGTTATACAAAAATTAGAGAATAACTAAATAGCATAAAATGAAAAGTACACGTGCGCTATCAATCACAAGCAGCGAACATCCTGGTAGACATCATAACTGCCACTCTGTGAAAGTTAGCTGACAGGCAAACGCAAGCTTCACAAATCAGAGCGCATCACTGCATATCCTGTCATCAGGGTAAAACATTCGCTGATCCAGATTCTCTGTGGAAAGGTCCTTCCTGCACACATCACAGTGCTTGATCAGCCCAATGCTTTACAAGGTGCTCCAGGTCCACTCGTCTCAAACTAAAGACCATTGCAATAGTCCCCTGTTCAAATCCACTTGCACCAATGGAGGGGTCTACCTCTGGCCCTAATACAGCAAGCCTGGTGCCCTCGTGCGGTCCGGCAAGACTAGATGGGGAAACCAACCCAAGTAGCTTAAAGGCTCATTAGCAATGTAGGCTACGTGATTAAAATTTGGGGTTTGAAGTATATGTCTTCATTTAATTCATTTACAAAGCATCCTGAAGCCAATAAATGGGGTCCACTCTTACCTCTAGCTCGCCTTTATCTGCCCTATGCCTTCACCACACGAACAGACATGTCCTAGTGGAGGTGGGACAAGCATCAGTTTGAGACCACTTCAAACAATCGTCCAGGGTCAACACTATCAAGCGCTCCAGCAAGAGCTTTTGTGAAACACAGAGCTTTACTGCGATAATTATCTTTAGCGCTCGATTTTTCCATCTCAACATCGCTGGGGTGATCAGTCCAAGCGAAATGTATCGCTAAAGCCACTCAATGCAATCAAGAGGGGTTGATCATTGAGTGTCGGATGACATAGCTTGATACACGTGAGACGTAGCGCCTCCCCAAGACAAGAGTTTAGCATCAACTCACAGCAAGATATCACCATTGCTTTGCAGGAAACGGGACGCTTCTCGTCTACAACAACTGCTACTGGATTGTAGAGCCATTGCTATTCCTAATATATTTCAGCAATGATAATAGCTTGGCCATTCCAAAAGCGTTCAGCCAAAGTGCAGCTTGGGTGATTCAAGCGCAAAAAGGCAAACAACTTTTAGCCTAGATATTTGTGGAATTACACACGATTTTCAGAATGTAGGCCTTCTTTCATCTGTACGTAACTCCACTACAGCATCATCTTCCCAAGAAAAATATGGTCAAGGCGTTGAACCCAAGACATGTATATTGGATCAAGGCGAAGACGAAATACGACCAAGAATGCGCCATGTGCAATCCATTGGCATATGGACTGCATCTAGGGGCGATCCATTGGCGATCCCCAATAATGACATCTGAATCATAAGATGTATATAAATTTATTGCAGATATAGGATGTACACAGTACATAGGCAAATCAGTTATTATTTCCTACACCAATGTCCCCTTAACTATTATATACACAGAACAGACTGTTCTCATAACTGGATATGTACGTATACATAGTACAAACTGGTTCGATACTGTACGTAAGTGCAGGATCCAAGTTTAACGAATCCAAAGGCTTACCAATAGCCAAAGGAACCGGCTCTAATGCATGTGGCGTTACTAAAATCACCATGTCACAGCCATGGGATAATGCAGCACAATCACTGAAATGCGCATATTTCAGCATAATCAATTTGTGCTAAAATGAAACAGCAGCATAATTAATACTTGTAGATGTATGTGCTAAATATATGATGAAAGCAGCACAATCACAACATCTCCATAGCACAATAATGTGTGCTTAACTGCGTCGGAGCGGCACTATGAAGGCGCTCGATCCCACCGCTGCCTGACCAATGTAGCACCCCAGGGGCAGTGCGCTCTTAAATTACTGATAGATGTTGGTAGCGTAGCAAATAAAATAGCACAACCTACTCCTGGGGGTGCCACGGGTAATCCCCAGATGGCGCTCCCTCCCTGAAGCCGTCAAATGGGAAAAAGCGAACAGAATAGTGAATTAATTTGAATTACAATAAGAATATAGTTTCTTTATTAACTAAAATTACATCATTTTGTTTGAAAATAATGATAAATCATGAGGATAAGCCTCAATTAAAATAGATCTAAGAGAATTACTGATGCGCTAATCAAATCTAAGGAGTGCAGATAAATGCAATGTCATGTTGCGACTTCTTAGCCGCTCTCAACCGCTCCTGGGGGAGAACTGGCAGCGCTGCTAGGTTGGATGATCGCTCCCAGTGCAGCTATCTTTCCTCTCGCTTGGCCGAGCGGGAGGGGTAGCGCAGAAAGGAAGCAACACACCAATGCCAGCCATGACTTGCGGAATGAAATCAATTAACATAAATTACATTGATCATTTTTATAAAGAATATTTGAATGCTCTAGCCAGAACCTTACAGATATATGAGAAGTTGAAATGAACTGATGATTTTTACATTTTGGAAATGACTTCACTTTAAAAACATGAAATCTAGCATGAAATTACATGAATTGGGAAGAATTAATAGATGACTAGCTTACCAAAACAATGATTTATCCAAATAATATCCGAATTATATCCAATTAATATGATTTAATCCATAAAATCAAGACAAAACAAAATAATCAAAAAGCGCATCTTCTCCCTGCAAAATCCCAGCAGAAGAGACAGTTGGTTTGAACTGAGCATGGAACTAAAATTTCACTGGCATGAATCTATAAGCTAAAAATTATTACATGAAAAAACAAACTGAGAAATTCTATGGGGCTGCTACTGATAGGTGTGAACTGTTAAAATATACAGGGCTTTACAATTAATGTACAAAATACAAGATAGCTATAGTTGATATCTGAGACAGGTCCAATTAATCGATAATATTTAAACATATTCCTTGATAAAATGAAATTATTACAAAGTGATTATAAATCTAATCTTTAATTGAAATAAAAGTAACGGCACAGAAATATTACATATTGTTGGGTCGTTACAATGTTTTGGTTGTCCTTGATAATCCCTTGATAATTTTAGTATCTTGATAGAGCTGTACTAGTTGTAGAGGGCATATATTAATTTGATATATTATCATTAAATATAGATTCACACGACTTCGAATCGAGCAAGGAATGTCATGTCACCTCAATCAGAGAGTCATACCTATGTGTTTTTGATGTGTTTATTGTTGATTAATAGTACCCGAACTTTTGTTTCGCATTTATAATTTACTGTACTTTGACCAAAAAGCCTAGTATGTTAAATTGCACGTATACAAGGGTCGTTCGAAAAGTCTTGCACGAATAAAGCTTCTCAAGAGAAGAGATTTTATCATTTTTATCTTTTACTAAATGATATGGACCATAGCGTCATCACCGTTGTTACTATAGCAACCGTAAAATGTTAAGTAGTAGGAGTATATACATGGAACTTTGACAGTGTACGGATATAAGATATGGGCACATACATACCAACTATGAACAAGAGCTTCCTGGTCAACTCAACCCCAAGTCAACTCAACCCAAGTCAACTCAACCCTTAGTCAAGTCGACCCCAAGTCAAGTCGACCCTTAGTCAAGTCGACCCTTAGTCAAGTCGACCCTAAGTCATCTCGACCCTTAGTCAACTCGACCCCAAGTCATCTCAACCCTTGGTCAACTCAACCCTTAGTCAAGTCGACCCAAATGATTTTACTTGTTTTAAGTAGATTAAAATACAATATAATCCCATTGTTTGTGCAGTTTGATTTGAAATCAAACTTCAAAGAAAAAAACATTTCTGTCACCTATAGATCAAAACGAAGATTTGAACTGGATCATAAAATCCCAATCTGATTGTTTATGACACCTGACATATGAGTAAGATAATGGAAACATTTACTAATAAATAGAAAAACATAAATCCCATTGTTTGTTCAGTCTTGTTTTAAAATCATACTTCAAAAAATAAACATTTCTATCGCCTGCAGATCAGAAGGAAGATTTGAACTGGATCATATTGTTTATTGTTATAAAATCCTAATCTTGTTATTTATGACACCTGGCATGGGTACGATAATGGAAATTGTAAAATCATAAATCCCATTGTTTGTCCAGTCTTGTTTTAAAATCTAGCTTCAAAAAATAAACATTTCTATCGCCAATAGATCAGAAGGAAGATATCATATTGTTTATTGTTTACTATTATTATCAAAATATAAAATCATTCAATACAAAGTAATGGATGGATGTTGGCACAATTCACATGTTGCATAAGTTACCTGTTGTCAAAAATACTGTTACAACAATTTCGGTATAACAGAAAAGTGTATAGATAATTTTTTTATTTCAGAGAGATAAAACAAGGTCATATATGAAGGGGTGAAATATATATATAGCATCGTGAATAGCCCTATTAAGATTTATCAAATATTATTTTGGTAAATAAATGTCAAATTTATAAAAATTATAAATGCATTAAGCACAAACTTCAATAGTTGATAATTTTCTTTTGGAAAATTAGCATTTTAGTCCCTCATTCTTTCAAAATTCATCAATATCATACCACGAAAATAGTATATCTATTTGTTTTTTATGGTGGGGTTGAGTTGACTAAGGGTTGAGATGACCAAGGGTTGAGATGACTTGGGGTCGACTTGACTAAGGGTCGAGATGACTTGGGGTCGACTTGACTAAGGGTCGACTTGACTTGGGGTCGACATGACTAAGGTTTGAGTTGACTTGGGTTGAGTTGACTTGGGGTTGAGTTGACCAGTTACCGAACAAGATTGGTCAATTATTTTCACAATAAGATATATTTGGGCAAAGCTTATTGAACAACCCTTGTATATCTTGGTTTGTTGAAAAACGAGTTAGTGTACCTGAAAGTAGGCTATCATGTTCTAGTTTCCAAATAACAATACTAATCTTTAGCCTTGAAAGCATACCGGGCTATACTTTAAGAACGCAAAATAATACAAAGTTTTCAATTTGAAGAATTGATTGTTGTTGACAATCTATATTACTGACATTATTGTGCGAATCGGAAAATCAGAATAAACATATTTTCTTAAAAGACCTAAAAGTCAAAATAATCTTACTCACTCGTTGATATCCACAATCATAATATGTTCCCTGTACAAAAAACATCGGGGGAAGTTTCTTCTTAGGGTTTACGTTTGTACTGCCATCTGTTTCACTATTTGTGTCGCCATTTGTAACACTATTGACTGCATCACCCGTGGATCCATTTGTTGATGCATTTGAGCTTCCGTTTGGTTCCGAACTCATGACCTTGCGATTTATGTTACCCAGCCGCCTATATCCACGTACCCGCTCTCTAGGTCTTTTATTTACACTTTATTTTTCCTCGCTGTTACTAACAGTTCAACATATACAGCAGAAGGTTCACTTAGCTAAAGATAGAATCCACTTTTACATACTATACTTGTAATTGATTTTTAACCTTTACTATGTACCGGGTGAATTATAGTTTATCAGTTAAAGTGACTTTACATGTATGTACTCAACCAGTAGCACCACTTTTTGAGGTATAAAATAGAACAGTACATCAAACACCATTCTATATAACTATACTCTAGCAAACAAGAACTCCTAAAATGCGCCGTTAAGGTGAAACAAATGTTTTATGGACGGCATGTCGAGTTTCAATAGATACAAAGTTCTCTAATTTATCATTTCGTCACTTAGGCTAAGATTAGTAATTTCATTTTCACTTTACAACATCACAGAACTCTATGAAATAAAGAATTCACTTAATGTTATTGATAGACTATTCATTGACTTATTAACATACACTTTCCATAATGTTCAGGGACACTCTGATGCATATACCATGTATTTAGCCAACCCAGATTCAAATCGTATTTATAACAGAATATGTACGTACAACTGCAAAAGGGAAAGGAACAAAGACCAAGAACCCAGCAAGAAAAAGAAAACATCTAAGTGTATACCAGTCATAAGGAAAAACAAAACCCAACTATCCTAAACTATAATCCACCGTGAAAAGAAACAATGACTAATACCCCCATGCGCCTACTATTCGAGCTCAATTTTTACAATCCATAACAACAAGGGCCATTTCATTCAAACAGAAGCCATTATAACATATGTCCAACAATCGTTCCGAGGAAACCAAATACTGCACCGATAGTCTACGATCGGTGAAAATAACTTCTGTTTATTGCCCAAGAATTGAATTCTGAATAATACTTCATTTGGCAATGATTTTTGAAAACTGAATAGACGGTGTGTATATTTACGATTGTTTGTAGATTATTCGAAATTTACGATGTGGTAATTACTTATCGAACAATTTAAAATTTAATGTGACATTATGTACTATTCAGATTTGCGCGAGACCCCTACACCCGGGCAGGAGTGGGGAATTAGACAAAATTAGCAGTTTTATTTTGAATAACAATTACAAATGAATACAAACTGAAAATGTTTTTGCATTGAAAGGCCATTGAAATAAAAAGATATGGCCGCTTTTTCCGCCATCTATCCGAATGTTGAACGATTTTCAATAGAGTTCAAACTCATCACAAAAAGTCAAATACAGGGTGGTCAAAAAAATGTAAACCCTGCATTTTCCTCATATCTTTGTCATTCTAAAAAGTTACGCCCTGATATTTCACACATTTGTAAATTATTCAATTTCCTACCACCCTACCATATTTCATAAGCATCAGACTAATAGTCACAATTTTACGGCACTTTGAACAACATGCTTCAGGTTTGGCCATCATCGCGCTGGATCCAAATGCCAATGATCCAAATGCATTCCTCAGCAGGTATGGCCTGAATGATACAGATGATCTCGCTTTTGAGGTCTGCAATTGTCCTGGGGTCATTATTATACACTCTATCTCTGCCATATCCCCATAGGTAGGGACATTTTGGAGCACATGACATGTGTAGGTTACTCTTCAGCGCGATAGGGGCCACCGGGAATGTTCTTTAAAGTGCTGTATTATGGTGACTATCAATCAGATGGTCATGAAATATGGTAGGCTGGTAGGAAATTGAGTGATGTACAAATGTGCAAAGTTATTTCTTAAAATAATAAAGATATTAGGAAAATGGTGTACGGGTTTCCAGTTTTTTACCACCCTGTATTTGAAGTAAAGCGAATCATTTCGTCCTACTTTTTCCAAACATATATATATAAACAAGATAAACAAAATAAAATATAAAGTTTGTTCATTTACACTGGTGATCGCACTGATAAATATTGATTTCAATCAACCATCAACTCGATTTTAAATTTAGATTTTTTGTTTCTTTTCACCAGCGCCCTCTGTGGTGTAAACCCGTAGTAGTTTTGTGTGTATAGTGTTTTTACCGCGGGAAGTCGAATCCCAGGAAGTACTCAAAAGATTAAGGGCCCCTTTAAATACCATCATGATGTGTATTATTTCTTTGCTCATGAGAATTTAGCTTGTATTCACGAATGCAAATATCGGCTATCGGCTACCGGGTTGATTGCAATTAGATGGCTTTTATCGAGGTGTTCGAAATTGTAAATAGCGAGAGTACATCTTGCGCACGTGCATAGACTCAAACACATTTTAAGTATGTTCAATCATGCGACAATGGCAAAAAACGTCACGTGGTCACTGTTAGTTGGCAAACGGGTTGTTCTTAAATTGCAACTTCAAACTAACGGGTTAATTTATGCCAATTAATAGGTTAACCCGGTAGCCGATAGTCGTTAGTTGCATTCACGAATACAAACTAAGAAGATAAAATACCATGGGTTGTATGAGCAAATCGCAAATAGTGATTTTGGTGTCCCAAAATTTTGTCTGAGACAAAAAATGTAAAATGACTCTAAGTGTTATAAAGTAATATTCTTGAATTTTTTGAAATATATATTTATTTTAGTCAGAAACAGCTACAAATTTATCACATGTTTACAGATTAAAGATATCAAAATAGATGGATACGATGTTGTAAAGTCAATAATGCTTAAATTATTAAGAAAAATCAATTATCAAAAGTAATACCGTTTAAAGGATCTCTTTCTACACTTAAGTCCAATTTGTAATAGAATTTGGTCATTAGACATACAATTTATAATTTTCACAAGCTTGTTACAAACTTTCACTTAGTAATGTTCCATTTAGTTTTAGAGAAAAGCTTGTTTTAGCACCATCACCCAATTTCCACGTTTGGCATTGAATTCAGCTCTGCATCGATCGAAGTTTTTATATTAATTGAAAAATAATTGTTCTTTCTCAAGTGAAAAGTTCAGTTTTTTTGATGAAGGAAGAAAGAGTTATTCAGGTTTCATTTGGGTTCAGTTTTTAGACACTCTGTACTTCGGATAGGGGATGATAAAAATTGCACGTTTTTTAAATTTTGTTCGACGGCGACGAGCAGTTTATTTTTAGTACCAAACAAAAATTTCAAAATGGACTTAGTTAAGCTTTAAAGCTCCCGTTTAAGAATACATATTCTAACTATTGAAAATGGATTCTAGCAATACTCACCAACATGAATCTACTTGTTGAGACTCGATCAACTTGGGTGATGGATTTCAGCAAGGGTATTATTTACTTATATATAATGGGGATGCAATTGATTTCATCTTGTATATCTACATTACATATATGCAGGATGAAATCAATTGCATCTCCATGTTAATTCAATTACACCTTCGCTGAAATCCTCATTTTCTCAGAAGAACACTCAAGTTGATCGAGTCTCAACAAGTAGGATTAATATTGGTGAGTATTGCTACAGTTCGGGACATAAATAAATGACAGGTGGATTTGCTGAAGTGAGAATTTCCCATGTTAAAAATAAGAGAATTTTCAAGAGGCCATACATCAGTGGATGAGATTATACAAAATGTGAAATATACAAATTTTAAGGGATATGTATCTAGACAATATTGGAAATTATGGGCTTTCAGATGACCATAATTAGGAAATGGTGATCGAAAATCGACCTGTCATTTATTTTTGTCCCCAACTGTAGAATCCATTTTCAATAGTTAGAATCTGATCACATTTTGTTAATCTATATATAATCTGTAATAGGATCATACACTATAAGTTATTGAATGATTTGAAGTGCAATACAGGACATATTCTGCTCGAGAAATTCTGTATTGGAACGAGACGAAGTCGAGTGCCAATACAGAATATCGAGACAGAATATATACTGTATTGCCCTTCAAATCATTCAATAACGTTTTTATCGTGTGATCCTCTGTATTGCTACTGAGATTGTCCCCTCCGTACCAATATTTTCTGTATTGCGACGGAGATGATCAACGGGGACAATCTCAGTAGCAATACAGATTGGTACAGCACAAGAACTGACCAATCAGAGGGCTTCATTTTACAGATCATTGGATAAAATAAGAAACACAATTATTTCTCAGAAAGTCCTAGAATAAACGATGGCTAGAGTATAAAGTTGATCATTAGTGCTTTCAGAAAATTAGTACATTTAAGAAACATAACGATTACAAATATCTTGCTCGATGCTAGAAAACACGGTTATATATATTTTGCAAGTGGACCCAAGAGACCAAGTGGGCGAGTCAATTATTTTGCAGGGGTGGCATGATACACACATTTCAATTTTGTTTATAGTGAATTCCCAGCGATTGATTTCAGTACAGTAAAACTGTCATAATGAACACCTCTTTAGTGAAGATCTGAGCCCAGTGAACACATGCGTCTACTCTATTGAACACCTGTGTACAGTGAACACCAATTCCCAGCCAGTGATTTCAGCACAGTAAAACTGTCATAATGAACACCTCTTTAGTGAAGATCTGAGCCCCGCGAACATATGAGTCTACTCTATTGAACACTTATGTGTAAGCGAACACCCAATTCCCAGCCAGTGATTTCAGTAACTTTTAGAGGGGATTGTACCTACAGTAAAACCTGTCTAATCCGAGGTACCAGCTAAAAGCCTTCGGATTAGGAGGTGTTCACATTTTGAGGTTTTGCATTTGCAAGATTTCGGATTTTGAAGAAATAGGAACAAATTCTCAATAAATATTTATAGTTCTTTTGACTACAGCTTTATGGCATTACAGTGACATGAAAATTCGAGTCAAATGTATGGTCATCCTAGAAAGCCTCACCATGAGTGAGATCGTTCAAGTTTTTTTCAAATATTTGATCAATTTTGTATGGAACAAGTGATATTTTATGAAAAGTGTTCAGACTAGATAAGTTAATTTTTCAAACATGACTGTTCACTGTTCAAATTGGGAGGTGTTCACATTTCAAGTTTTTTTTAACATTTGAGTCAATGGGAGGAAAATCGGGACCAAAAAATGTTCAAATTGGGAGGTGTTAGATATACAGGTTTTACTGTACTACAATTGTTTCCAATCTTTTGGAGGAAAGTGTACATCATTCCAGAGAAATGACAGGTGACACACTACCATGGGAATTGGTCATTTCAGATGTTCCCACGCTTTACGTCCAGA